TTACAATTTCCTAACACTTCATCATTTTTTCAACCATCAGGAGGAATAAACAATGTTCTCCATGTTTGAAGTAACTTTAAATATATCTTTCAAGCATCATAAATTATATGCATAACAACAAATGAGATGTCGCCGATAAGGCAGCTTGTGATTTCGTCCACTTTTCAGTACTTTCACAAAAACATCATTGTGCACTTCGACTTGAAAGGTGCTCCACCTAAACTGAAGTATTTTTTGGACCTTTTAGAGTTTGTTGCAAAAAGTGGCGCTACAGGTAAGTGCCTTGAACTGTTCATTGCATTGTTGTTTTAAAAGCATTTTAAGAAAGTCAAGTTCCTATCCCAAGATGTCTCATCCCCTAGATAAAATCCTAGCCTTGATAAAATATGCACAAGGCTGCCTATTGTAGGTATACTGATTGAGTGGGAAGATATGTTTCCATGGAAAGGTGCTCTCAAAAGAGTCAGAAATAGCGACGCCTACACCATGGAAGAAGTTCAACAGATTCTTGAAAAAGCAAAGTAAGAAAATTTTTGTTGGAACATTTGTTTAACACTGTTTCTTGCTCATAATTTACGACGAAACACTTTTGAAGTTACATTTAATTAGCTATAAACCCGCAACAATGTCGGATTGCGTTAGGCTAGGTATTCTCAGCGCTGTGCTTCACCATGTCGATGTCATGATGATGAGCTGGGATGTCGGAATCATAGTCAAGACGACTGCATTGCGAAAACTTCAAAGATGATCGCCTAGATTCCTTGTCGGTAATTAAGGCATGATGATAGAAGATAAGAAATAATTCAAAGAAGGTGAAAGAAAAGCCGAATTGCACGGTGGAAACTGACATGAGCCACAGTAAGTGGAGCTGGGCTGTCTTAATCCCAAGACCGTAAGCATCGTGGTTATAAAAAACGCAGCTATTTGGGGTAAAATAGATCAAATGAGAGTAGGTGCTGCTTAATGAAAATAGAAAAACACTAAGGATCCTCTATGGCAAGCAAATGCCGTTACAACACAAATCGTAATCTAGTCCGCCTTTATAGCACCGTATGGCA